AGCGATACAAGTCCTTTCTTGATTAAACTAGTTTATTCTTTCTTGTCACTTTAAACTTAACTACTTTTATAATACACGCTATAAATCACAGCGATTCACAATCTCGAAAACACACGCTAGCTAGCAACAGAATCGTAAATTACCCGGAACTTTCTTCATTCAATTTCGCAGGCTTTTCCTGCCAGGTTTATATATTAAAAAAGAGGGCGTCTCGAACAAACTCGGTCTTCCCCAATAATTCATGATCATTCGAGAAATTCATCACGTGACTTTCGCTGTCGTAACAGTATGTATAAGTTCAAATAAGTGGTCACATTGGTAAATGTTTTAACACATACACATTGTAACGTACAGGTGTCAAATGCTTCACTTCTGTAGTTGGATCATTTTTTCTTCCTGGCTATAGTCTAAATAAACTATGGAATTATTTTCTTTTGTTCTTCGATGAAACAGTGTTACTTCTAGGTAACACCCCCCCCCCCCAGTGGCACAGCGGCATGTCTGCGGACTTAAAACGCTATAATCCGGGTTTCGATACCCGTGGTGGGCAGCGCACAGATAGTCCATTGTGTAACTTTGTGCTTAATTAAAAAGAAACAAACAAACAAGGTAACACACCCATTTATAACTTACTAAAATATGTTTCACAAAAACACTTTTTGTGCATCATAGGCCTACTTAAATAAGAAATTCAAAGATAACATTTTTTTCCCCCAACCCTATTTATGCAATAGGGGGATTAAAAGCGTGTAAATCGTAATATGAATCTTCATGACGTCACGAAAATTGAGCATAATACAGAAAGAAGGTTTATATCTAGGCGCATGACATTGTATGCAATAAACACGTAATCATAAACTACGTCACCAGTCATACAGTTAAGGAGTCGCTGATCAACAAAACTAATTGTAAATTATGTATGGGGTTTTGAATCCTTTTTACTTCACAATACAGTAACCTAAATTAATTTAGGTATGTGAATAATGTATTACATTTCTTTGAAACCATTATTCGGTATTATACAG